CAAATTCTTTTTCTCTATTCTATAATGAAGGCATAACCGAGGTTGAGTTTACGACTTTTCAAATGCATACATAAATAGTACACGAAATAGGGATCATTATATATGTGGAAATAAGAAATGTCGTCAGGGGTCTCTCGTAACAAGTGCAGTCGTCGGTTTCATCTATTGTCATGTTCGAGTATTATAACTGTAATTACGACATTTCAATGAAAAGTAGCTGCCTACATTTATTGCGCCTATACCTTTACAGTTCTGCTAAACTTTTACTTAGTTAAGTAAAATGTATAAAGAGGTTAATGTATTAATTCTATGGACTCCATTGGGTGTATTTTGCTTTATTCATTAATATTTTACTTGTTATAAAATATTTATTTGAGAAAATGTCTGAAAGTATTCCCATTGAGAATACGACCTTTATTTGACACACTTTTTGCTGGCATTATACAGGCTGCTGTTTTAATGTCCACGTACAATTTTATTGCCAGCCATTAAAAGGTAGGAACTTTCAAAATTGCAGTTTAAAATCGGATGCTAAGACCACGTTCACATTGTGTATTTACCAAAAAAGGCCACAATTATTCCGGTACATTCATGTAACGGTGCCGCATGTTCATATAGTGAGAGAGGGATGGGAGATTTAAAGTCATGTGTGTCAGAAAAGGAGAGGAACACCGTTCTCTTGCGGGAACAATTTGTCACTGTCTCCGCCAATTTCCTCTTGTAACTAGTTTTTTCTTTGCGCCACGTAAATTTAATTTCAGCTCTTTGTTGAGCCGGTTTGAAGCGGTTGTAACCGACTAGTATCCACAAACTTTTTTCTCTAGTGTTTTCTCACTGAAGTTTGATTTGTAAATGTCGATTTTATACTTTGACTTCAGTTTGTTTCTCAATTTTCTTACGTTTACGAATTGTTTTCTGAAATAACTCTTAAATGCAACATGACTCTAGTAAACTATACATGCCCACAAGTCATAATGAAATGCCCAAATATGTAGACATAAACAAAGTAACCCCTTCTCAAGCGTGCGGCATACTTTGACATACTACATCGTGTAAGATGCCGTACCAAAGCGTGAAAAAGGCTGGTCCCTTATTTCACGCCGGTTGCCCAACACGCTACCGCTGTTATCCTAAAAAAAACATAAAAATCATGTTGGAAACAAGGACCCTTCAGTTCATGTTAAGATATAACTTCACTGAGAGGTAATATTTTAGGAAAAGTTGCCGTAGGCACTGGTAAACAATATTGGATTTTATTAAAATCTCGCAATGTAAGCAGGGTGGATTAAAACAAAATATTGCAATGATATTAAACAAATTCATAGCGAAGGTAAAAATATATATTAATATAGAAAAACATAAGTTATGAAAACTGTTTCGTAGAAATACTTCGTAGCGGTGGTCTACGAACCTCAAACTTTCGTAGCAAACGCTACGTACGGCGTAGCGCGTAGCACATTAGGATTTCTCATGATTGTAATTGATATAATATTTTCAGGTAAAATAAAACAGTAATAATTTTATTTCTATATTTCTAAATAATTTTAAATAGATATTAATTTCTTTAATAATTTTCACATTAATTTTTACTTTTAAATAATTCTAGTTTTTGAAAACGGTTTGTTGGTATTTTTGTACCAACTAGAGAACTACGACTATTAGAAGAAAGAATACGATTTTCTTAGGATGAATGGCATCGAGCCAAGTATTCCACATCATATAAAATGATGGCGACGAGTAATTCAAATAATACTTCCTTGTTACGTTGGTAACTACCATATAAATTCACAATTCTATCGTGCAGTCCAAATATTTGCTAAACATTAGCTTGTTCAATGTGGAGTTTAAATGACCGATGTATTTTGATAGAATGCTCTGGCCAATATTAATTTACCAGCATTTGATGTTTTGGGTAAACTCAATTCATGGTGCATTCAATTTATTCATAAATGTTGCTGGACCTGCATTTTATTAGATCAAAGCTCTACCTATATACAATGTATATATTATGAGCAATTTAACAATTTAAACGAGGCTTTTGTCTATGGTAATTTTGTTAGTAGCCTGTTCACAAGTTTGTTATTTAAGCATAAATTTCTAATTACTGTAACTCCTCTTGAATTCAGAATTCCTTTAGAGACAGGCCTCTAAATAAAAAGGAAACTAAAATATTCATATTGTAACTATTGTGCAAAATAAATCTTGCATATTTAATGAAATAAGTCGCATGTTATTTTATGAAATCCTAACTTACAAATGTAGTTTTATCTGAAACTTGTCCTAAGAGTCGATAATGAATGGCAAAAAATGAAAAATCGCTTTTCATGATGGCCCATCTATCTAATAAACCTAATATTGGTTTGATGCGCGCTCAAGAGGCGTGAAATGACTCCCCACACCTCCCGCAGGGTGACAGGACTCACCAACATAACCTGATCTGTACTGTTTTTACTTTCGCTCTCAACAGTGGAACAAAATGTTTTCTTGCCTCAAGCTTAGAGTTTTTCTCGACTGGTTCTCGCTGCACCTCGTTCCCAAGCTTTCAATTTCTGTTTGAAAATGTAGAAAGTTTATTTATGCTCAGTTTATAGGAATCACCTTAAGTTTATAAACATTCAGGAAGGATTTGATATTTTATTTCCTTCATAGCGGTGCTGGAGTTTGCTTTAAATAATCGTCCGATTTTGTATAAAGCTTTGGCAAGAGCAAGTATGGCCACAAGCCAATAAGTGGTATCCCAATGACCACTACAAGATTGATCGGTTGAACAATTCTTCGGAACGAATATTTAACGCTTTAGAAAATGTTGAGTGTTCTACATACATATTTTATTCTGTCCAAAAATACTACGGTTTAAATTGATTGGGTTTGAAAATACGGGATACAGAACTTCGATTCGGAAAGCACGTAGCAGTAATTTAAATCGTGCGCTATGTAGTGTAAGTGAAATAAATTCCCTGAAATAAGTACACGTAGAGGCACTTTTTGAAAATTAAAGTGCTGCGAGGGGTTGACATACCGCGTTAACTGAGCACATTCCTCCGATGACCGGGCCTGAGTGTTAGAGTAACGGAGTAACTCACAAATTACATCCCTCCGTTGTTTAGAGACAAGCTATTTGGATGTACCCACGTCTCCGATGGCGGAATTCCTCGGGCCCTTGGACTCCGGCCCTCGTTAAACTATGCGACTTAAGACGGCTATTGCGCACACTTAAGGACTTTTCAAGATCAGTTAAACTTGTGTTGGTATACTCGGTATGTTACTTAATGTGTGACATTAAAATGAACACGCACTAATGTGTGGCTTTATTTACGCGCTCGCTGTATGTACTAAGAACAAAATTAAATTTTAAATTTTTATTACAGTAACTTAAAGTGGTATGGTGTATGTGTTCAGATTTTCATAGCATCACTACGTAGTACATAATCTGCGTCCATTTATAATAATACTTTTACTTGAAGTTTTCGATAGATCGAAGTTTTTTATAAACGTTATAGATATTGTTTCGTTTAAAGTCTATCACACAATTCATTTATTAATTAACTGTGATCCATTGAAAAACCTTATAATATTGCTCATAATCGATTACCATGATGCTCAAAGGGGAAAAATCTCTCATAATATTTGCCATGACGCGTCCTGTGGCTAATCATTTAATGAACCGTCACGTGCGGCCTAACGAGCGTCTAATTATTCTATGATTTATCTCCTGCGGCCCTGACCTATATAAAGACCAGGTACACGTTTTTTTCCTAATTACTGTGAAGAAAATAAACAGGCAATATTGTTTGATTGCTCGTCATATTTTCTGTTTATTTTTCGAGAATAATTCTTTCTTGAGAATCCCACATGCCAAATTATATTATGAGTATATTATTTAACAACAACATTGTTAAAATCAATGCAATAAAAGCCAACACACTCACGCGTCTAACTATAACACTGTTTATACACTTGCTTCCTACTCAATCAAAAAGCAACACACGTGGCAATTAGTCAGTTTATACCTACCAAAGAAATGACTCGATATTGTGTCATGTGTGGAAAATCATGTCAGATGAGAGTATGCAATGACAGCTGATGATGAATGGAGGATGTGATGACGTGAGTAACAGACGGACAGTCTGAAACTAACTACGTCTGTGACTACCCCTGCTACAGCATGTAGCATAAATTTTGAATTTTGCTTACTGTTCAAATTAGGCCGGATCGTCAGTAGTCAAAGGCGTGGCTGCCAGAGCTCCGTATTTTGTTTTTAGCAGCTGTTCTTAAGCACTTACTATGGTCAACGGTCCTAGGGTCAATCGTGGTCGTCTGTAGAGTTGTCGTTGGTTCCGTCTCTACTGATTCTGTGGTAGTCGTCGTAGTCGTAGTAGTAGGAGTCGTTGTAGTCGTTGTAGTCGGAGTAGTCGTCGTAGTCGTAGTGCGGCGACGTCGTCGTTTGTGCTGCTTCCCCGGCCAGCGGCGCTGCGGCCCGGACGGCGCCGGCGCAGTCACACGCTGACGCTTCATGCCTAAAATTAAAGTACTTACTGTGGTAAAAGTGGGATTTCTAAATATGTGTGGTAGGGTCTCAGCTTTCATTCCACACATTTTTCCCAACATTTTACCTTTCATTAGTTCATACCGTAACGGTAATCACCAGGTTCCTGATTAACTCGTTGTCCACGATCAGCGCCAATTCTCCTTGTCATCTTAATATTACTACTTACTATTGTTGTTATACGATTACCGAGGGTCCAGTTCTCAAACTCGTGTCTTTGCGAATGTAATTGATATCATAACAGTGGAAGCATCTGTGGCTGAGTCAGCGCGAGTGAAGCGAGGTGGTTGCAAGCAGCTCCACACAAACACAGTTGACACACCAGAAGCTGCAGCCCCGAAATGAGTTACTTACTGTTGTGTTAAGTGGTGATGATTGTCAGCTGCCGTGGTTGAGTCGTCATGCAACCCTACGTTAATTTACAGGACATTCTTAGCATGAGAAAAGTACTTACTATGGTCCTGGGTCCTTGGGTCAGCGGTTGTCGTCGTGGTGACGGTAGTGGGTACATTCCCGACATCATGTTTGTCTGGATCTACCGTCGTGGTGGTGGTGGTCGTGGTTCGTTTACGGTTACGTTCGCGTTTGCCGGCGCGGCGAGGTGGTGGCGGAGCAGTCCCGGGCGCTGGTAGAGCAGTGTCCCGGTCGACTCTCGCCACCGACTGGTCGACTCTCGCCGCCGACTGGTCGCCTCCATTGCCAGTTTCGGCAAGGACAAACGCCACTAGTGACACGGTGGCCAACCGTATCACCAGTGGCGCCAATCTCCCCATACTGCCTGTAGACAAAATAATATACTTTAGTAATCGTTATTTTGTAGCACAAGATCAAAAGTTCATTGTTACAACAATTATGTGATAATTATATCGAATAAAATTAAGTATGTTTAACTATTCATATTAAACGGCATCTAAAGGACTATTCAATTTGTGGCACAAAAGTTTAATTATCTTTCTATATAATAATAATTAGTGAAACTATACCGAGTCCTTCGATATTATTCCTTAATTATTCCGCATACTATCAAATTTCCTTTTTAAAGAAAATTTTTAATAAGATGAACCATGAAGATTTTTAGCGATCTACCATGTCTTTCAAGTGAAGAAAATTTTCATTAGCGCACTCTCTCCGCCACGCCCAACTTGAATAAAGAATTTTCAATATTACAAACTTTGGCGTTTATTTTGAAATACTAAGGAGCTTTGATTGAAGTTACTGTTTAATATGAAAAATTATTATTTTAAAACTTTCAACGTTTTGATGAAACACAAACAATTGCATTGGCACTTAATTTTTACTGGAAACTGCTTCGAGCCGGAGCCCCGGCAACCCGTTAGGCCTTCTGCGGCTCCGTAAGAAATGTGAAAACCTTCACAATTTTACGTGTTATCCTAGCTCAGGGGCCATGTTAATCTTACGTTTTAATTTTAGTATATGTACTGCCGAAGCAAGTACTAGAAAGTCTACCCTACAATAATGTAGAAAGAGTTTAATTTCAAAGTTAATGTCAATAAAGTAGTAAAAGCACTGAACTCAAGAATAAAACACGACTAAGTCACTTTCAGTCTGTTGTCATTTTGATTACTACGAACAAGATGAAGCTCAAAAAATACTAAATTAATTTTGCAGCCTCGTTATAGTACTACCATCCTTATTGTACTAAATTAACTGAACGCAATCTAGAACTATTTCATAAACTTTTCTTTAAGATAAAGACTAAGAGTTTTCTAGGTCCGCTTTGCTTTAAGTAATTGGCCCTCATTTGAAACAGACGGTCTTACGTCTCTTTTGTATTAAGTATAGTTGGTGTTCTAGAGACAGTATTCGTTGTATATCAAGTATTTTTCTTTTGACGACGAGTGACATGGAACTTTAGGATGCCTTTACATACAAACTTGGAGTTTCTTGCTTGTTCTTTTCCAAGGATTTGATTTGAATCTCAATCTCAAGAACGCTTGGAGCTTTTGTAGGATGAATGCATAAGAAGAACAATATATAAACTACATTTTAGGAACCCTTTTACTCCGTCACACATATTACAACTAAATTATACCTCAAAGTGTTCGCCAAGGGTAAAAAGTATCATTTGATTGCGGAAACATTTCGTTACCCCCAGGGGTATAAATGCAAGTGGTCTAGCCGATCCCTTCGAAATATTTCGGTGCCAACATCTGTCAACTGGCTAATGCTGTCGTTCCACGTCCGTTAATGCTCCGGGTCAAAGGGCTACTGTAAATTCTTTATAGCATTCAATCCACCTAGCTAGCTAAATGGAATTTTGGTGTTAGTAGGCGTCAAACCCGAAACCGAGACTGGCTACATTTATATAATGTTTCCCACGTCAAATTATGTTTATAAAAATATGTTACGGTATGGTTATTGAAATTGGTAAATATTTATTTAGTAACAGTATTCAGCTATTGTTTATTGAGAACATAAGTCGTAAATCTCATTGAAATTTGAAATACAAGAGTATGTAATTAATAAGTGCATGTGTAATATCCTACAGTAATTGTGGTACCTCGTTCGATCCATTACTAATACTACTTACGACTTACTGTCTCGTTTTTCTTTAAGATGTCACCACATAGGTAGTAGTCACCACAAAGTACTCTTAGTCACAAAAGTAGGGAGTAAATATCAAGAAAAATAGTGGTTGTTTAATCGTGTGGGCGATACCTTAGCGACTTAGTACAGACCAGCGACAGTTCCTACCAGGATGGAATACATTTGGCGCGATCCTTAGGGACCTTGCCTGAAAGCCACCCCGCCGATCCACTTCGATAATGTTCCCAAACCCCTCTTCGTTTTATTTTTGTCATTCTCAAGACATACAAACAGATGGGCGGAATGGTTGGACGCAAACGACTGACGGGAGTCGGGACCTACATCCTTCAGTCGCGTTTTTGTTACAAGCATTTTCTAAAGAAAACTTTCGACAACTTAGCATATAAACATAGCCTACGGGTTTAAAGTTTTTCACGTTTAGTAAACCTAATTGTGTATGGTTAATTTGTCATTAGTTTTGGCACAGACGTACTAGGTACAAACCAAAATTAATGATGTTGTTAATAATTTTTTAGATGGATTAGAAAACAACGAATGTTATTTAGTATTTTAATCGTACACTGGCAAAGGAAAAAAATATCAATAATTTTGAAATAAAATATATCAACTGCATAATATAACAGTTACGATAACTTTATGCAAAGCCCGATAAACACTCGTTTACTTTTACTTAAATACTCATTAAACCAAAGTACTGAACTCTTAAGAGTGCTTTGTTAAATGAAAAGTACTTTAACGGCTCAGTGCTCCTCTAGTTGAGAATCGATAATTAAAGTCTCAAGGTACAGTCAGCCAGTTAAATTGATAATGTCATTTCTGTATGATCACTCAAGGAAATAAACATGCCACCAATTTGAGAACGCCCCGTATGTTTAATTAAAGACGTGAGCGGTTCGTCATTAATTTATTTTATAATTGCACTGATGTTAATAAGGCGTATTTTAAAAATTAATTGCGTATATGTTTCGTTGCAAATTTCTAAATGAGACATAGTAATTTTTGAAATGAATTATACCATTACAATCCACATATTATATACGTAAAAATTAATAATTATCAAATATAAGATTAAACATTTTTTTTGTAATCGCGAATTCAAATACAAATGATTGTTAGTGATCAAAAAGAAATCATTGTTCATTGACTAGATACCTATATAAAACTACAACATAAATTATGAAACTAAATGTAAATCACCTCAAAACTCAACAACAAAATAACTACATAAGTTCGTGAACTGCTAACACAGAATTTTATAGCGATACTTATAGTCAATATAGATGACATTCCTTCTAACATGAATGTCGAACTTTAATTGTGTTATACAATTTGAGCACTGGATAAACTGAAATCAATGTAACTGTAACATACCGCTGACGAAAACGTTCGCAAACTGTAACACAGACGGCTAATAATAACTTTGACAGTTATAATGTTTACGTCGCATTAGTTTACCAACGCGAGACCACCACTAACGAAACTTTGACACTTCAAGTCTACCCGCGATACATTGCTTGTCACTGAAGCATTCTCAGTCGTCCACAACTATTTAAATCAAGTTAACACACAGCTGATGCAAGAAAACACCAATTTAACTAAGTAACGGTTTCTTAAAAATATATTTCGATATGTTTTGGAAGAATGTTTGGTTCGATCATCGTATTTCGTTTGCTTTAAAACCTAGGAACTAGAACTTGAAAATGTCTTATATCCTAAAATAAACTGAATAGTTTTAAAATACTTCAATGTATGAATAAAAATAAGGGTGCCATTATTTATAGGATAATACAAATAAATAAAGGCCAATAAAGTGATTACCACGTTAGATTTGAATTATACTTGTAAAGCGAACAAGAGTAGAAAAGGAAACGAGATTGGAATAAAATCGCATTAGTTCTATTGAAAAATATTACTGAGCTGCGAGATAAAGGCGCTATCTCATTATATCTGTGGTATCAGTCTAGGTAAACGGGAAATTTATTAGCACTTAGTGTAATAGAAATTCTACGACTACTACGATCACCGTTGTGTTGTTTTATGTAAAATATTAATATGATCGTCCCCCTTGCTTATACTTATCATAAACAACAGCATAGATAATGAACCTGCTTCTAATTTTAATAACCTATATTATTTTGTGAGATGAAATTAAATTTTTCCGTGTTTTAAATACATACATTAACAATAAACAAACAATCTTTTCCCAACAACTAGATACAGCTTACTTGTACCGTAAAGTTTGTGGAACAGTTTATAAGCATTAAATCCAGTTATTATGAAAGTTGTACAAAATGAATTCGTTACGAGCGAGGGGCTGACTTCATGAATAAGCCGGATTGATGGACGTCGAAACTTCATCAATACTGGTATGTTCTGTGACAATGAAAGCGTCTGGAATACCTCGAGTTGATTCATAGACTTTTCTATACGTTGGTAATCTCTGACAACAACGTTTTAAAAGCGCCTTTCTTAAGATTAGACGGTGGGCCCATTGTATTGGTCTCCGCTTGATCGAGCACCGGAGCGCAGGTGGTCGATAAATGAATTTTCCCAACTGTAGGAAATTGATTTTCATTCAGTGGGAGAAAATCGGTAGCTTTTCCTTCCATTATGTCGGGTATACCGACTCCGGATCAAAACCGTCATGTTGACTGGACCGTTGATTAATAAGTCGCCCACGTACTGTGTGGGTGAGTTTTATTTTAATGAAGGAAAGTTTCTCGTGTCATTGTGGTCTTAATTGCAATTTTCCACGTTTTCCTGCAGAAGATTAAAAGAGAAAAGCATGCTAGTATTATAAAGGTGTTTTATAATGTACTGTAAAATTAATAGCTATAGTTCACGAGCAGGCGACGGCCACGGGTTAATTCAACTCTGAATATTTTATTAATTACGAAGATAGAATAGTGGTACTAATTGTGATTAACTTAGTAAGTAAGTACTACAAATTTTAATAAAAGTTTCACCTTCAGTCAATTTTACATTTTATAACAAAAATGTTTTTTTATATTTCCGTTGGAATGAAAGCAAATCCAATAATCGTTTTATCATTTATTAATTTGTGTAAAACCGCTTTCACAGAACATGAAAGATAAAAATAAAAGGATTTTGTACAGATTAAAATGTTTCATTAAAACGTAAAATAATACAAACGCAATATTCATCGCCTTAAAAATAATGGCCTGGCTTAAATCACGTTATTTTAACATA